GCAAAGGGCATCGCTACTAGGGGCTCCTGGCCCTACTACTAGGAGCAGGACATGGTCCGGTGGGTGATGTGCCCAGAAGAGCGGCCACGTGATTTGAGACTCTCGCACATTCAGACTGGAAGGTGGGAAATGAATGCTTTGGAAGCTTGCGTTTCATTGGTTCATTCGTGCATTCCTTCCTTTCATGAACCTGGTTTGGCCCTTCTTCAAGGTTCTGGTCGAGTGCATCCAGCTTTCATTCAATACACTGAACTAAAGTGTCCTTGGGCAGGTTGCTGATGCAAATGATGCACTGACAAACTCACCTTGCATCGTCTGCATCACCAACCCACCAAAAATTATCTTTCTGCTCCTTGGGCGGGATCGGAAAGGAGCTTTGACGCAAAAGCTCCTCTTCATCAACCATGTGTTGCCTCCCAAAGCCATTCATACAAGTTGCTGGACTTTGTTCCATTCTCTTCCCATCTTTCTGTCTTTCTTTCCACTGCGCACCTTGCAAATGCCTTGTACTCAGGTGTCTGTTCAAAGTCCTCAGGCACTGCTGATCGTGACAGTGAAGTGCGCAAAGAGGAGAAGGCCTGCGAAGGAATGACGTACGAGCACTATTCACGACAGCCTACTAACAGCGTGGCAGTATGACAGCTCAACTCTGAACCAGCCGTTGTGGTGGCTGCCAGCGCCAAGGCAAAGCGACTGACTTTGGCATTGCGGGGCAGCATGGCTCACAAGATAAGCAGCTGCAAGGACGGAAACAGGGCTTGCGAACCTTGAAACAATTCCAAACATCCAAAACGGGACCAACAAAAGAAACAACTCTTTTTCTGAGCTGATGTTGAACAATCGTCTTGCACATGAATGAGCTGATGTTGAACAATCGTCTTGCACTGTTTGGAAATAGAAAGGGAGGTTGATCCAAGGGCCCAAGGGCAGTGAGATGGAATGAAAAACTGAAACCAATCTCTCACCGCTGGCTTTTAGCTAAATGTGGCCTGACACGGTATCGACCGAACTTTGAGCCCAATGGCTGCTGTTTCTTCGGTCAAAACTGCCTGATTCTTCAACAGCTCAGCTGTCCAACAACACAGGCGGCCACTGGCTGATTCCATGCAGCCACAATTCCAAGTGTCCAAGTGCTTGCTTTGGCTCTTTTCCTCCACCTTCCATGTCTCCATCTTGGACACCATCTCTCCAAAGATATGAGGCCGTTGCTGGTCTTCATGAAAGGCCACCGGCGGACCGGTGATACTCCACCGGTGATACTCCTGCACCAAGCTCTGCGGACGGGTGTAGCTCAGAACTACTAGCCATGTCCTGCATGCAACCTACGCGGACTAGCGATGGTGTAAGGGTGTAGCTCGGAACTTATGTGATGTTCACCATAGCAAGGCTGCCAAGTCCGGAGTATTTTTGCTCTGCGCCTGTCCCAGCTTGATGCCGGTGATAACCGTGCCGAGCTGGCATTGTAGGTAGCACTGGCAAGAAACGCAAGAGACCTATTCGCAGGAAAATCTCTGAAGATTGGAAGGTCGTCTTTGCGAGTTTCATGGCCAAAAGAGTTCTCTCAGCTTTGAAGACGAACAGGTCTGCCTGACCTGCACATATTCTCCACCGGTTTTGAATTGGAGGCAGGATTCTTGGAGGAAACAAAGGACAACCGAGCATACTGAACATGCTAAGTAAACCCATTGGCAGGAGTATGCCGGAGTTAGCTTGTGAGGATGAACACAAGCATATCATGAAAGTCCTTCGAAGTTGCCATGCTGAAGTGCTCCGAAGAAAGGCCGGGTTGGGTATGCCGACAGTAAGGAGTAGCCACTAAGCTTAAGTAACCATTAGCGATCGGACACCGAAGGGCTCAAGCATTGAGTTCGCCAGTGCATGGTCCCCACTTACAGAAGCCACATGTTCGAGACCCAATCGCTCGATGTGAAATCAATGGGGAGCAAAAAAAACATCCATCAAAACCTCAAGAGCGGGAGTATGATGTAGTGATGGGGACATGTAATCCACAATGGGGCCAAACAAGAATTGAATGAGACCTTGACCACATGTACGAATGGGGCCAGTTCCCAAACGTCCAAGTACGACTCATGTACAGTGACATCACTGAAAGGTTCAGCCCCACCACTTGGTATTGGATGGCCGTGCAACCTGCGCTAAGCAGTGCCCTTGATGACCATGTCCAAATGACCATGCTCTGGTCAAGTTTGGTCAATGAAATCGATGCCAGGTCATAAATGCTAAGGTATCTACTCTTCAAGCTGCGAGCAACGGTCAGTTTAGCTCTGTACTCTCGCGACGGGCTTATCACTGGAGAGCAGTCTCAAAGCAAAGCTGGGATTGCCAGCACGCGTCAACTTGCAGGTCTCCGCACTTTGCGGGGTGACCCAGCAAGAGCTGCACAAACTGCCACAGCTGGACATATGAGAAAAACATTAAATGTATACTTAGTTCTTAGGAGGGTAGCACTGAGGTGGGCTTCGACTTTGATCTTTGCAAAGCTTCTTGGCCATGGCACACTGTAGCGGCTTGACCATGATAGACTTGCTGCCACAAATGCGGCCAGCAAGAGCAGCAGCAACATCATTGCCCAAAGCAGCGAACCGAGGCTCAACACAACCCCACTCCAAGTGGAATTTGCGAGTCTCACAGAGAAAGTACCACAGTGCTGCCGCTTGCTGTATAGAGACATTGCGGGGTAGGCACTGGGCTGCATCCGAGACCTCATTCTGGCAAAGGGCATGGAGTTCACCAAATAGCATATCAACCATCTTCCACGCACCAGTCTCCATCATTTGAATACCAACCATCCATTCACACCCTTCGCAATCAAGCTTCATGAGCTTGACATGCTTGATCCCATACATCTGTCCAAGCTCCTCCAAAGTTCGCAAAGGAGATGTGAATTCACCAAGTTCCTGCTCCCTTAAGTCTCCTTTGATAGACTTGCCAGGTTGAAAAATTTCATCATTTCGCGAAGCCCAGGCATTGGTAAACATGTGAGTTCCATGGAAGACGCCAGAAACCGTCGACAAGCCACCCTGCAAGGCAAAGACCTTTGAGTCGGCCCTCACGTTTTGTAAGAGGTTCAGCCGCAAGAGGAGGTAGTTCCATGGGCTGGGCTCAAGAGTTAGCAAGCTCGCATTCGGAGCTCTCAAGTGTAGATGGATAGCAGTTATACCTAAATTGCCTCCGACATCAAGAACCCATGTCTCAGGACCCCAAGCTTTGCTGGCCAAGTTGGCTAGGCCATACACATCCTTCACCTGCTCGGACATGGCACCTTTGAACCCATGCACGTCACGCGTGTCAGACCAAATCCACACATGTGCACCGGCTAATTTGCCTCTCTCCGACTTGCAGCGGGAGAGGAAGCTGATCAGTTCGCCTTCTCCCAACAACTTGGAACCTTCACGCCAAAATTCCACCCAAGGCTCCGACTCAGCGGATCTGCAAACAAACTGCATGGCCCCTTGAAGGGATCGTTCCCCACAGGCTGATGGCAGGTGGGGATTCCTTAAGCCGATCTTTTGTGGAGCTGGCTCGGCCTCGTTCAGCTCATCAGAGACTTTCAAACCGTTAGGCTCAACAGCTGAAGACTCAGGCGAAGATGCTGTTTTCGCTATCTGCTGAGTCTGGGCGACCATCTGCTGGATTTCCACCTGCTGCGTTGCCATCTGTTGGATCTCACCCCTCAATTCTTGAATGGATGTAGCCAGCTCCTGGGGAACTGGAAAACAACGACACGCCATCTGTGAGCACTTTTGCATGCTTTTGAAGAGCCATGGGTCTTAGGACTTCAGCACCAAGAAAACTCCTAACACAAACACAAATGACTAGTAGCCAGCGCTTGCCAGAACACAACTAACCAGGCACTGCATGTCACTGTTAATCCCCACATCATGGACCGGCAAAGTTAATCGTGTCGAAGCCAAAACCCAACCCCAACCAATTGGAGGCCATCGCCATCGCTAAGGTGCCGCTAGTAGGTTGGAGGACATCGCTACTAGGGTAGAGGCCATCGCTATCTGGTTGGAGGCCATCGCTATTGGATTCATGTTTCTCCTCGATCTTTTGGGCTCTTTCATTGTCATTGATATGCAGCCTTCCAATCAAACAAAGTGCAGCAAGCAGCAAGAAAATCGCCATGGTTGCGAATCTCATTTCTGGAAGTGTGACAGATCAATGTGGTCAAAACCCGCACTCATGAAACAGCCGCTTTTAGATTAAACTACTGCGGGATTCATTAGCTGTTGCAGCTTGCAGTCCACTCAAGCGAGTGATCATCCACCAGTAAGCAACTCGACAGTGTGACTTCAATATCTTCAATAGGGATCACAAAAGAACAACACACATGATGCAACATCTCCTCTCTCTAATTGCAGCCTGTGTGCTTACCGGCTGAACTTGAGCCTGCAAATGTCGCACGGTGGCGCCACAACCACCCTGACGGTGGCGCTCGAACACCTTCGCCGCTAGAGGGTTCACTTCGGGTGGTTTTCACGGCCACTGCGGAGCAAACACTTTCGCGCTCCGGGAACGAAAGTGACACCAGGGGGTCAATCCAGTGAGTCTATAGTGGTTGGGGCCTACCCAGTCTACTTGTAGCGAGAGGTGAAGCAACAGTTTGTCTTATCACCATGTTTGACAACAAGCATCCCAACATGTTGTGCGTATTGTGCATCTCCTATTGCTAAAACAACACACTAATTAGACCGTGCTGGGCCAAAGTTCAGGGTCAATGTTTCATGAAGCCGCACAACCACACTCTGACATTGGTTTTCAGTTACACTCAGTTCCCAAGCTGAGAAGGAAGGTGAGAGAACGGAAAGGTGGCAGAGTCCGCGGAAAAGTATTGTTTAACATTGTTCACCAGTGCACTTTAGTTAACTACGATTACTGCAATTTAGACCTTGACTGAAAAAGAAGTGCTGAGTCCGTCGAACAGTATTGTTGAAAAACGTCCAGTTAAACAATTGAAAGGCAGGTACGTCAGTGCTGGCCGGGCACTGATATCACATCCACTTGGTGCGGTCTTTGTTAGATGAGGCACACCAAGGGATCCTCATCCCCCTGCTTTAAATTAAATTGAACCCTTGGAAACAGGGCTTGGCACACACACGGTGCCGCTTCGCGGCGCGCATGTGAAAGACCTGAATAGTCACCTAAAAAGCCTTAGAAACAAAAGAAAAGAAAGACAGAAAGAGCAGCGCTAAGAGGGCAAGAAAGAAAGGTAGGTGTAGAAAAGTGAATAGTTAGCCCTTGACTGGGGTAGGGAAACGAGCCTCAAGAGCAACCTCAAAAGCCTGAGAGAAAGCCCAACAAATGACGAAAAGCGCAAGAAGGAAAGCGGGGGGGCAGGGAGGGGCTGTATGTCCATGTGTGTGTACATGTGTGTGTCTGAATACCTAGCACTCTAGAGTTACTGATTACTTAGCAGAGATGAATTAAGTGCAATAGCTAGGGAGCGGGACTTTAGTCTTAGACCGCCCGGGTAGGAAAGACTAGAACAGGAACAACACAGGGAAAGGCACCGACACACAAGTGTGTCGAGTGCCATTTCCCTATGTTGCCCTAATTAGGTGGGGAGTAGAACTCGGCTGGGGGGGGGTTGGGAAACCTGCCTGACTGCATGACTGCAAGGGGGGTACCGTTTTATAGCCCGGCGGCTATGGTGGTTCACCGTTTTTTGGCCCGGCGGCCGTTGAGGCAGTTAGTTCGGTGGAAGTGGAGGTGAATTCCAGTGAAATTCCGGT